CGGTTGATTCCCGCCTCCTATAGCTCTGATTCTGCTTCGGCTAGCCCGAAACAGGCTCGTTTTAGCGAACATGTCGACGCTGAGCCCCGCAAATAAGAGAGAGGCTCTACAGACAGCACCCTGTGCTATACACCACTGCTGAACTAGATTTTCTTGAAGCTGCTGTATACAGTTCGTAAATGTATATCCTTTTAACATTTACACAGCAGATGTCTTTTTCCCCTGAGGCATTTTATCAAGAAGACACTGGGGAAATTGGAGGTGGGGGGTTAAAGACCTTACTTAAGGGGATTGGAACTAGCAACTTTCTGTGTACAGGTACAGCATTCCAGCCTGCTGAGTCAAACGCCACTGTTATTTGCACCAAGGTTTTGAACTCATAGAAAATGAGCCGGCCTCACACAGTGTTAATATCACACCAGATTATACACTCATCGGCTTTCCGTATTCATGTTTACCCGTCAGCCAGAATACGCTTCGTCGTTTTGTATCGTCCCTGTTATCTCTGTTTTCCGCCGCTTCCTCATCCCTCCATCTCACCCGTTTCCCTTGAACCATCAGAACGGCTTCAAAGAGAGAAGCCTCTGTCCCGTTTAGTGTTGCGGCGAATCAGGAAAGCGGGTCTACCTGCGTTTCAAAGGCTCTCAGCTCCACGCTGAGCTTCAATTAATCTGACGGCCATGAGGTCTAACCCCACAGCCCAAACAAAGGAAGAGGCGGGGAGAGAGAGTGACCTGATTCATTCCCGTCTAATTCGTATGATAATTAACACTCTGCTTTTCTGTTCTGCCTAATTGTTCTCCCACAGGGAGGCTGATTGGACTTTTCCCCGTCCTCCTGCAGGGCCCGTACCCGCTGAAATGTGGCTATGGATATCAGCCGAACCACACAAGGCAGTTTTCAAACGAATGGAGCAGGACGGTTTTGCCCGAAAGCAACGAATATAACCAAATAAAACTACAGCAGGCCTTTATTTTTATTATATACTGTGCACATGAATTAATATAAATGTCCTGGATAAACACTGGAAGAAGGAAGGATTGATGGATTAATATAAATGCAAAGACTTCAATGTCACAAACTGTTTTTTTTATGATGCGAGCATTCACGACTAGTTCCAAATTCCAAATAGTAAATTTAAGATAAAACTGGCTTTTTAATTTGCATTTACAAGAATACATTTTAGCTTTGGGTTTTTTTTTTATTGTAACAATCAACCATTACCATCTCTGCATTGAAACCAGCTGTGCAGTAAGCCTCCTGGCCAGCAGGGGCTGCTCTTGCAGTGCTCACTACCTCGGATGTCACACTGAACAAACTTGCCTTGTCTGCTGATCTTGGGTTGTCCTGTATAATGAAGTCAAACAGTTTGGTCTCTGTGCAAAGATTTTCTCCAGCCTGTCTTTCCAATTGTCTAAGTCATGTTTGAATTCCGTTGTCATACTCCTTAGAAGTAAGCTCAATATTTGATTATATTGACACAACTAAGCAAATAAACAATGACTGTTATTCTGTGTGAGTGGGACTGAATACATTATTCTTTTTAATAAACTGCTTGAAGGACAAGTCAGCACAGAATCATAAAGCTGTATTGTAGATTTAACCTTGTAATGTACAAATGGAAAGTACTTGGGAAAAGGAAATCGTTTGGTTTCTTATTATGTAACCGGTTAATTGGAGAATTAAACTGCCTCACATACAGTTATTTGTGTTTAGTCAGCAGCCCTTGTTACATTCAGAGATGTTAAAATGAAAACACAGTATCACAGCCAAAGTCTATTTTCAATCGTCAATGAATATGGAAGTTGTTGGTTTCTGGTAGATTCTGATTTCCTTCCCACGTCGCGAGCAGGACACTTGCTATTCTGCTCTACGTGCGAGTGGCTGGTTTGTAACTGAGGATGGGCTTCACTGGTACCCCACCGACCAGATGCTGCGCCACAACGCTGGTGACGGAAATCTGGAGCGTGCAGTAAAAATGTTTGGGTTGCAATAAAGCTTGCCAAACTGCAAACAGGTTGCGGAGAGGCTGAATCTCAGGCTAATGCACTCCATATGTGAACAAGCGGCGAAGAAGAATGAAGCACTGGCAACGTCACACGATGGGGCTGTCCCCCAGAGGTCTGTCATTGGGAGCAGGCTTGTGGAGCGATGTCCATCAGGGAAATTAGTATGTAGCCATGTCTGAAAGATGGGGGTAATTAGTGAAACGCCACCTAGTGGTGGGAATGAGAAGAAACAATAGCGACACATCCGTAGAACTCTTATTTAACTTACAGCTGAACCAGGGAGAGTGCAGATGGTCAGAGAACAGGCTGGAAAACAAGGCCACGCCCCCTGAGTCCCTCTGAGGTCAAAGGTGATGTGTTAACCAGAAGGGTGTATGTCAAATGAGAATGTTACCAATGAGCCGTTACGTGGAGGAGAGCAGAGACAGGACTGTGGTTCTGCTGGCGTCTCCGTCGGGGACCATCGACAGCGAAGGTGGTTGAACGACTTCTGAAGGGACTCTCCAATGGATTAGACCAGGCTCAATAACCCCGAGGTGATAGATCGGTAACAAATGTTCCCGTCCTGAGCGACCACTGCCCGAGTCATTACTCCCCCCGACCGGGTGTCTCTCTGAGATCGCCTCGTCGATTCGGTCCAGCGACTCCCAGCATGCCTGGCAGCTCCCAGGGCATGGCATGGAGGTAGCCCCCCCACCCTAATCACAGACTCTCCCCCCATAGCCAAACCTCAGCTCTCGAGGACCTGCCCATTGTGTAACGAAGGTCAGCGCCGCATGCACGGCTGAACGAGGCAGAGTGATTTCCAAGTGGAAACGGGTCAGGTTTTTAGCTGGAGTCCATCACCAACGATTGCGGTGCCTGCAGGTCCGGCCGCGGCGCAGGTTCAAAGGCTTTTGGGGCCGTTCAGGTCTGCCTTTCTTGACGCGGGGTCACGCGCATTTTGGAAACACCTTGATTACTTTTAATGTAGTTAACGGCTGCAATTATTTTCTTTCATTTTCCTCTAAACTCTTATTCTCCCCCTCTAAACTCCCCTGGGTTTACCTTACATCTGGGGTCAGACTCTGTGCTGATAGTGGGTTACTGATTTCTACACAACATGGGGGCTTTTTAACTGTCCTATGATGGTCGCGGAAGATCCAAATACGGCGTCGTAATGGAGCTCGACTCACCGGAGATAGTTCTGTACAACTTTTGAGGCTGGAGTTGCGTTTCATTTTTAAGGAGCGGGAAAGGCTATAGGGAGGTGGTTTCTTCGATGTGATGGAACTGGTCTGGATGGGAAAATCACCAGCGTGCAACTGGGGAGGGTCCTGTGAAGAGCTGTGATCATAACAGCGAGTAGTACCCTGTGACATTGGGACCAGGCCGGCCGGTGGGTGGTGGGTGGGGGGAGTTTACTAGGGCTCAGGGACGGGAAGCGGTCAGCCCCAACACGGAGTAAAAAAATGGAGGGACCATTTCTGCTGATGTACCAATAAAAATAAACCAAATGTCATAGCAAGCTTCTGGGACGAGAGTCTGGGTCAGGGACCACGACGGGGGAGGCGAAACAGAACAGCACAGCGATTTATACATAATCTGGGGAACAAGATCACGCCCCACCCTCACAGTTACACACACTCCTCCATCCATTTTCCATGGCGGTCTATGTGTCCCTGTATCGCTTTTGAGGCAGGTCACTCTCTTCAAGTCGGCCCCTTGCAAATAAGACCATGAATATTTCATTTGCCATTTTTAAAATACTTTGCTCCCGTTTCCTTTTGGTTCTTAGTCAGTTCCCAGTGGGGGGGCGTGGTGGGGGGTGAGGGGGGGGGGAGGCATGAGAAAAATCTAGCTTATGAATACAGAATAGGACGTCAGCGGCTATGCAATGGTACGCGCTTTATTAACAATGAGGGACAGTAATTTGGTTCGGAAGATTAATGGGTCATTTTACCGCTCTGCGGCTCACGACCTTTTTGCATTGATGAACGATGGCATTTTACCCCGGAGGCTGTTGCTCCGCCCACAAGAGAGGAAGAGTACGCTACACTCGATATCATCATCATCATAATCATTTGGCTTCCCATACCCCCCGCACGAACCCCCATCACGACGCGTGCACCATTCAACAAAGATGGATCCCGGCAGTCGCTTTACAAAATACATCACGTTTTCTGAGGGGGGGGGTTTGTGTTTACAAAAAAGTCCAAAGACGCTGAGTGCGCTGTGGCCTGAGAAAATTAAGCTCCGTTCCAGGTACTCGCAGGAAAACTGCGGAGTGACAAAACTAAATATTTTAAGAGGTGATTTTCCAGGTCAGCAGTTAGAGCCGTCGTTGCTTAGGGGACCTGCCAAGTCCAAAAAAAGCTGTATTTTTCGCAGATGTATATTAAACCAGAGCCTGTTCTGCTTCCTCGCGGCCTTGTGAGCATCTGCAGGTTCCCAGTTGCATTCACCTTGAAACTGCATCCTCAGCAGGACTCTAAACGTTTGCACGCGCAGTAGGCTCTACTTTGCATGCTTCTCATATTTATGTTTCTTTTTTAATCAAAAAGACCCGGCAAGATTAATACTTAACCGAAAGGCTTTATTTACTTGCAGGGACCTGCAATCCGCAGTCAAATGCCAAGGGTAAAATGACGAGGGTAAAAATCTGCATTTTTTTTAAATAGATGTTTCGGTGCTGTTCTTTTTGGGAAAAAAAACATTTCCTGTCAGTTTGGTACATGGGCAATACGGCGTCCTGTTCCCACTATGACTCAGATACATAGTCTGATTAAACCGGAGCAATTTGGAAGTTCTATAAAAATGCAAATGAAAAGCACATAATTTTTGTTTTACTCGTGATAATAAGGACTTTAGCGTCTGACGACAAAAAGAGCCTTGCAGAGATATCAAATTCTACTGGGGAGCTCTTTTAAAGGCGAGCGGCGCGCGCCCATTAACGGCTTGTTGTTTGTTGTGGGAGATTGCTCTCGTTTTTTTTTTTATAAAGAACGGGATCGTTTTTATTGTCATTATTTTGTTTTACGAGCTTTAAATGTTGAACTTGAATGGCAGTATTTGTCTCTTTAACTCCCGAATAATTGTCCCTTTTCTCCGCGCCGATAATCAGATATCGGGGCGTCGCTTTAAAGCGCACCTGTGCGAGTCCTACGCGCTCAACGATCATATGATGCAATTTCCCGCAATCGATAAGGAGCTTCTTTACTCGCAGGTTCTCCTGGGGGGTCTAGAGCAGTGGTTTTTATGACTAAACAATGTTAGAATAACAATGTATTTGTGTATTTATAAGCTTGTTTAATCTTTGTTGACGCTTTTCATAGCCGATAGAGATTTTCCTGATAAAACCACGTCTTCTACACGTTTTGTTTCAGGTAAGAGAAATAGGTGAGGTGACTGATAGCTATAATGATTGTTGAACTTGACTGTCATCTCTGTGGCGGCCTGTGGACTTGCTAAACCTGACCTTCACAAGGCGTTTAGAACCTGAATGGGAATTTCGTGTCGCCCACCCGCTAATCAGTGCACAAGGTGAAATCTTAAAAAGTTACTGCTGGGCACCAGCAGATTGACTGAGAGAATTTATTGATGTGCAGTGGCAACAGGGATGGCCACATATTTCCTGCCCCCCCTTCGATACGCCCCTGGTAGGCACGTCCGTTTCTGTGGTAAAGTCCAATCATGGTGGCAGATTTCTTGCTCCGTCCAAAGTCTGATGTCGTGGCTCTGCACGGATGGGATCTGCTGCATGTACATTTGTCCTGAGGTGAGGTCATCACTCTGGATGGTTAATCTGCAGCCGCTGCTGTACCGCTGCCCCCCCCAGCCCGGCAGTCTGAGGTGTGGGCATGAGCGATGGCCGCCTCCGAGTGTGGAATGATGTACGAGGCTCCTGATGGCGGCCGACGTCCCGTAAGGACCAGCATCATCCCCCGCCGACGCTTTTCTTGTTGCCCGCCAGAGACGCTGCTCTCGTGAAGACTGATAACGGGCACCATGGTGACGCTGCCTGGCCACCTGGAGTGGATGGGCACCCTGTGATCACGGGTGTCGATTTATATGGGGGGGAGGAGGGGGGCCCTCCCTGGCACATGTTGAGCAGTAGCACGAGGATGAATGTCATGCCCAGGAAAACTGCAGCTGTTCTTGGGGGGGGGGGACTATGGTTCATCAGATTAGACCTCTGTGCTAGTGATCAGATGGTCATCAGTTCAAACCCCTTGCTCAGTGATTGGGGTAGTGAGAAGTTCCATAACCACTGCCACTCCAAGCCTGGACCCCAAATCTACTCCGCCCTGATAAATCTAATCAGAAAGCCTCGTCTCAGAGGTTGTATTTGAAAACTCCTTTTTTTTCGGCTGGGCTCCTTCACACCTGAATTCTCATTCAGAGGGTAAATGACCCACCATGGTTTTGTTCTCCTTGACGTCACTGAAGATGCTCAGCCAAGGCCGTATTGTGATGCGCGAAGTATATCGCTCGGTTTTCCGGTAATCTCCATCAATCACAGACAGTCATATCCAGCCCAAACAGATGCAAGAGGTCTCCAGCTGGAAGGGACGTGCTTCTCAAGGAGCCTGGGCTCTTGTTTGTGGTCTGTGGGGGTCCTTCTGGAGTATAGAGTAGAAATGAAAAGCTTCTCGTCTTAATTCGAAAGGGAATCCCCCCCTCCCCCAGAAGTTCTCACTCTGAGCTGAACCCCATTTGAAATGAAATCAATCAGAGTCATGTAGCAGAGGCTGAGCGAAGGGACAACTAAGAATTCAGTGACATGTGCTCCCTGGTCCATGTGGTGGTGGCTGGACGTGTGAGGCTTACTGGGTGCAACGTTCAGCCATTTCCCCTGCTGGAGGTCGGGATCCCACGCACAGCTGATGGGGGGGGGGCAGCTGTACGTGTTAATTTACTTCATAAAAATGAAGCTGATAAACAGACAGGAGTTCCACAGTTCAGCTCTGATGCCCACACTATATTTCAGGTTAGCGGACCAATTGGATGGCTCGTAGACGAGAGGAGCGGCAGGTGGGGGTCATGTGACCCAGCTTCCTGTGGTGTCATATGACCCTTTGTTCATCTGTATTCCGGAAGCTTCTGGAATAACCAAACGCACCAGGTACAGAGTGTGAGTATGTATGTGCGTTTATGCTGCTAAGCTGCAATCAGTCCAGGCATGTCCTGGCTTTTGGGGGGGGGGTTATGAGATGAGAAATTTAGGATGACCTGTGTCCCATTGGGTAGGGTTCCCGTCACGGTACCGGAAATGTCCCATTCCGATGACGCTGTGATGACTGAGCCTCTGTTCTGCCCTGGGCGAGTCCCACACCTTAAAGATTAAGCTTTTGCTTCTCTTCACGGTTGAATCATATTTGATGACAGGTTTATAAGGCCAGACTGTCACTAAATTGCGATAATGTTGCAATAATCTGTTTCCCCCATTGATGCGCAATTTCTGAAGGCTGACAATCGGAGCATTGCCAGAAGTGCACTGGAAACTTCCTTCTGCTTTCCTGACCGCGTAGGCCGTTGGGATTTGGACACCCCCATCGAAGTGGCATGGGGGCCAGGGTGCCATACAGGGGATAAAAATGACCGGGACTTTTCGAGTCAGGTGGACAGTCTGTGGCTGGCAGCGGGATTTACCGATGCTGTGTGGCGCTGAAGTGAGTCGCCATTATAATGCGCCGCCGCGCTTCGCTGCGGGATCTCTGCTGGCAGATGGGGGGCGCCAGAAGCATGCCGTGTCCCAGCTATGCTTGCCAGCTGAAAAACAAATCAAGCTAATTAAATATATAAAGAAAACAAACGTGTTTGGTGTCAGGGGGATGGGTTGAATTTGTGTATTCAGGGAAACCTGTCCAATTATGAATAGCCCTATGGATTTGAGATTCTGGGGGGGGGGGGCACCCTTGCGTAGGCTTTCAAATCTGTTGCTTTATTTTCTGTTGATATTCTTTCTCTTTCTGATGACCCTGGTAAACAACGCTGTAGACTTTCCTCTCTGTGTTTCTGCCCGTAGAAGACTGTGAACGCAAGGATGGCAATGAGAGCAACAGCGACAGCAGTCGCAGAAATTGTTCCCTTCCTTGGGACTTTTTCCCCCAGTGACAGACTGTTTACGTGGCAACTTTTAAAAAAAAAGGGTCACGAGCAGCAGCCAATTGATTTATTTACCTCGTCGAATAAAAAAATTGGCTTTTACTTTTACCTCCTTTGAATCGATGCTGCTGTGTGTTTACAGATGCGATTCTGGCCTAATGCCGCTCTCAAGGTCGCCGTGGCGGGGACCCCTGGGACGCCGAGTGCCGTAATTGAGGGAGCGCTGCGAGTTTGCTCAGAAAAAACGGCACGTCGGGCGAGTGTAGGAAGCTGGCGGGTCGTGATGATGCTGGTTCTGTGGTGCTTTTCGCCTGCGGTGCTTCAGGACACGGGCAGTGTGATTATTTCGAGCGACGATTGCAGCAGGCTGCCGCCGTAACTGATGTATTTTGAAGTCCTCTCCTTCGGTCCTCGGTCCGCGACGTCACCGTGCCTCTCTGGGTCCTGGCTGGTATCTTTGTGCTATGTGCCAAGGCTGTGTCGACGAGGGGGGGGGGTTATCAGCGGTGAAGGCTGCCAGTCACAAGCCCTGGACTCATAAAAAATCCCCCAGGGAGGCCCGGACCGCACTGTCCTTTCGGTGACTTGTTTGCGGGGGTGGGGGTTGGGGGGGGGATGTCCTGACAGGACAGCAGCTGCCACACATTAGCGGGTTTCCAGCAGGCTTTAGGATGGATGCCAAAAAGTGATGGGGGGCAGTTTGGTGTGGTAGAGGGTTACTTTTCGCAGTTTAAGGGTCATGTGAAGACCCTTCAGCCAGGGGGTGGCGCTGCAAGATTTTTATTTATATATGATAAGCCAAAACATTATGACCACCTCCGTGTGAAGTGAATAAGGTTGACTAGTAAAAATGTACCAAGGTCTGGGATATATTAGACAGTAGATGGTAAACTAACATTCAGTAATTGTAGCTGATATACTGAATGCAGAAGAAATAGGGATGAAGATGTGAGTGTCTGTGACCAGGGCCAAATCATTACGGCCACATGACTGGGTGAGAGCATCTCCAAAACGGCAGGGCTTGTGGGGAGCTCAGGGTCAGCCGTGGTGAGTGCCTACTGAGAGCGGTCAGAGGAGGGAGAAATGAGGAACCGCCGACTGGGTGCTGGGCGGCCAAGACTCGTCGATGCGTGATGTGAATGAAGGGTATCCTGTGTGGGACAAACCATCGGAAGGACTACTGTGACAGATAAGCGAATGGAGGATTTTAGATTTCAATTATGGTCATGGGAGCGTTGTGTCACACACGGGGCATGGCGCCCAGCTGTTTGAGCGTGTGTGTGTGTGTGTGTGTGTGTGTGTGTGTGAGAGAGACAGGGGGAACACTATTCTTGATCATTGATCTTGTGGTTAGTTTGGTGCCGTGGTACAAAGTTTATGGTCTGATACAGGGCAAGATGTAAGGAGCCCTTGTCTTTAATGTGATTGGCCCTGTCTGTCATGCTCCCCCCCCCACGCAACCCTCGATGCATTGCATGGGACAGGTAGGCTGAAAAGAATCAATTTTTATTAACTCATAAGTAGAGTTTGAGAAAAGCAATTTCACGCTTGAGGGCGCTGCCCTGCAGTTGGACGGTGTGCCGGTGATTACTGTTGTTTTCCCAGGTACAGAAGAGGAGCAGGTAAGAAATTAATTATCTACCAAATATGCAAAAGTGGCCCCTGTGGGCCCCTCACTCTCCCTGCACCTGTTTATGCCCACAGAGAGTTTTCGGAAATATATACGACAAACTTATGACGGTCTCAGATGGGTAGAATGCACAAATGCAAATGGGGTACGACGCCAGATTCCGTGTCAGTGTGATTTTATCTGTCCATTACTGGCGTTTGTTATTTACCACTTAGGGAATTTTGATTCTCTTTTTAATTGCTGCTCCTGATAAATTGAGCCGCAGATGGTGTCTCCACGTCCCCCAGAAACTCTCAAACGGGAACCTCAGACCTTGCTTTGCTATCGTCAGCCACACTCCCATATCTGGGCGTCTCATGGGGTCATGTGACCTAGTGACAGGCTCCCGTTGGAGGGAAATCAGCACAATGGCATGCTGGGAAAGCCCTCCCCCAGCAACACTAAATAAATACAAATGTTGTCAATTTTATCCCCCTGCTTTTTTGGCCCCCATGGTGAGAGTATGATCGTTCCTGCTCCTACACTGAACACCCCCAAAATGGCCATCTCGGGCAACCTCTGCGAGCGCATGCTGGCAGGACCTGTTCTGTCCATCTAATAACCTGCGGCAAGTTGTGTGCTCTGATCGATGAGCTTTAATTACTCTGTCTTTCTGCTTGCAGAGCACAAACATCAAGAGGCCTTGCGGGGAGTGGGGTGGTGACTGAAGAATGCAAGGTACTGCAGACCCGTCGAAGCTGAACTTCTCCATCGGTCGGGGAGGGGGGTGGGGCCACAGTCACCCATCCTGCTCACATGGGACTGTGGGTTTGTCATAGTTAATATTCCCGGCATACTTACATAAACTGGGGTAATTTACCTTTGATGGGTGTATGCATTGGTTAGCATTGGTACCTCACATCCCTGGGACCAGGGTCCTCCGCCAGGTCTCTGTGTGTGGAGTCTGCATGTTCTCCCCGTGTCCTTGTGGGGTTTCTTCCAAGTACTCCGGTTTCCTCCGACAGTCCAAAAACATGCTGAGGTTAATTGGAGTGACCAAATTGCCCGTAGGTGCGCATGTGTAAGTGACTGGAGTGTGAGTGTGCCCTGTGATGGGTTGGTGCCCCATCCTGGGTTGTTCCCTGCATGTAGCCTGCGGGATAGGCTCTGGACCCCCCGCAAAGCTGAATAGAACAAGCAGTTACAGAACACGGATGGGTTTGTGTGACTCCAGATGGTTTCGTTTGACGGCTCACAGTGGCGCGGTAACATCGCTGCCCAGATCGCCGTTACCGCCTCCCGGTCCTGGCCAATAGCCAGCCTGCTTTTCAAGCAGGTGATAGAGCGTTTTTAAGAGAGGTCTCCTCTCCGCTGAGGAGAGTAATCGCTTTAAGCTCTTAATGCATCTATTCAATTAATGTATGTATATATATATATATATATATATATATATATATATATATATATATATATATATATATATATGTTTGAGATCATGGCTTCTGTTCTGCCATATTTATTATCATAATATGCAGTGATATTATGCTATATATTATTTTTGTTCATTTCTGTCTAGTATAGAAGAAGGATGGACCAAACTGTACTGTCTGTTACTTAGAACAGAATATCTCCTTAAATCTCTCTCTTTTGGTTTTTTTTTTGCAAACCCTCAGAGTGGGACTTGGCCTCGCAGTGATGAAATGTCATCCTTTCTCCCTCCGAACGTCCAGGGTCTATTCAGCCTAAGACAGGGCCGGAATATTTAAGACCTGTGGGAGTCACGTGTGTTAAATCCTGCGAGCCGGCGGGGGGGCTCCTGTTCCAGCAGAATGCCTCTCTCTGTAAGGGGTTACAGTCTGACAAGCGGGACAGCACTGCTCCTCCAGCTGTATGGAAATATGCACCCCTCCCTTGATAACTTCCATTCCCCTGGCATTTTATTAGGGCTGCTGTCAGATGAGTGGTATTTGGCGCGTGAGAAGGTCCCCAGGGTGTCCTCGCCGAAGGCCGTCCCTCAGTGTCACCAAGCCAAAAGGGTGAGTGGAACCGCGGGGGGGGGGGGGGGTACGACCCAGCCAAGGTGTGGGCCTGCTCACTCTCTCCCTGTGGAGTCCGAGGACGTCCCTTCCCATCTCCAAAACTCTGTCTGTTACCTGGCTGTCATCCTGCTCCCTCCAGCTTTCACTTTCCCTGCAGACGTTCTGTACCATATTACATTTTACTTATTTTTTTTTTTTTTGGAAAAAAACAGGGTTAGACATTCCCTGGAACAGCTGTGAGTTAGTGGCCTTGCTGCGGAACTCAACTGTGAAACTACTCTACAGTTCCAACCCTGGGATTTGAAGCAACAAGCTTCCTATTGTAACACACAGTGACTAATCATGTGGAGCCGCACATCACCTCACAGACAGCTGATTGGTCAAATTCTCCATAATGTAGCACATCTGTACGAGTGAGTTTATCACAAGGGACTTAGCAGTGACTGACAGTAACTTTTCAAAGGGAAAGAACATCCAAAAATGACAATACTGGGAAAACGATCGCGCTCACTGTCCATGATGGAGGCTGGGATCAGGCCCACCTCCCTCTGTTCTTGGTGCCAAGGGGAGGGCAGAATGTATGCTGGCTAGGGACAAGCACGGCCTGTGTGTCACCTCAGCGGGGTTAGGTTAAGGGGCTGGGCGAGATGCCACCTAAACGCTGCCTTTGGGGTTCATATTTCCCCAGTGACCAGCAAGTCTCACAGTCTCACTCAGTGTCACATTTATGTCACTTGGCCTCTACTACCACTATCACTAACATCTTGTGTTTAAAGTGTTTAAACGTGACAGACGGGCTTATAAATGAGGCAGGCACGATGTGGGCACCAAGGTCACCTCTAAGGACCCGCTGTGGCTGGGAGCTGAATAACCCGTCTCACGTTCAGCGTATTTGCCGGCGGACGCCATTTTCCTTTTTGCGCCGAGCGCGAATTTGCACAACTCGCCTCATTCTCTGGTGCCCCGACCTTGCTGTGCCCATTAGCATAACGCCCACCCCTGGCAGCTCCCCCCGGTGGTAGGAAAGGAGCAGTGGGACTGGTGGTGGTGCTGGTGGTGGGGGGGGGGGGGGGCTTCAATGTAAATGATAATGTTTTAAATGAACTGCTCTTAATCCCGCCCTCTTATGTAACAGCGGCCTCCACTCGATTGGTGGGCTCTGATTGGACCATGGGGGGTCATGGGCCAGCTGGCAAGGCCCCCCCCCATTTATGGAAATGAGGTGAAGAGGTTTACATAAGGCTGTTAACTTGTGCGGATCCGCGTGCATTTAATGTACACTTAGCGAGCTGGTGCAGGGGCCTTGAAGGCCGCAGACGGGGGGGAGGGGGGGCTGGCGCAGTGCTCGGGTCCATTAGTCAAGCTATAGGTTTTCCCAGCAGCCCTCATTACTTCAATATCCCACCTGTGAAAAGTGCCCCCCCCCCTCCCCCACTGCTGTTTGGTACACGCCCCCGGCTCCTGTAAAAGCAGGCGTGGGCTTTAGCACGAAAAATCCCAGCGATGCCAAAGAGGATAACCACCAAAAAAAAACAAAGCGGGTCTGTGCTGGGTGGGATATTACATTGCGGGGGGGGGGTAATAGGGGGGTTTGGGAGGGGATAGAATGAAAAATGGCAACCTGACATGAGGCGGCTGGGGCTGAACAGGCTGCCTTTAACGGCCCAATCGTAAGCCCCGTCGCTGGTAAACAACGCGTTCCACTGAAAGCTCCAAAGCTCAGCCCTGGGATCTTTTAAGGAACATTCCAGAACTGTCCACCCTCCCCGCCAGCTTTCCAGAAGGAAGATGTCATGGGTCTCAAGACCTGCCCTGGTACTTGGTGAACTAGGGTGGGGGGAGGATGGGGCCTCTTGATTGCATTTCCCCTTCCCTGTGTCCGCCTGGTGGGCTCTGGTCAAATTACTGACCCAGAAGAGGCTGTTATTCATCACAGACAGGGCGGAAATCACACCAGCCTCACTCACTGGCTGCTGACAGCGAGGAAGGGTAACCAAAGGCCAGGCGTGGATTTTCTGAGGAAAGGACTCTCAAGAAAACAAAATTATTTTTCTTTTCAGGATTTCCCACATATTTTGGGTGTTTGCCAAATGCCAAATATTCAGTGAATTTGCTGGATCCTGGGAGGAGGTTGAGGTCACGTCGGACACAATCAGATAAAAAAACGACAGAAACCAGCACTTCAGCTGAACAAAAGCCTCCATTTCCTTACAGCAACACACCACAAAAAATAAAAACCCTCAAGGGCCCTCCTTCAATGCACTCCTTTTTTTCTAAAAACGCGGCTTCTCCGAAAACAGCCTTAAGAGACGCGTATTTCAATCGAATAAAGTGGTACGATCCTGCCTCGTTGTTTATCGACGGAAAGATGAGATGCCGTATCGGCTGGGGTCCGCTGATTGATTTCGGAGGAGAGTCAAGCGAACATCTCTGCACGTCCCGGTCTACAGGAAACCCTGCAGTATACCATTCCGACACAAAGCGATGAATTATATGGATCTGGATGGCATTTTGCCTGCTTAACAGGGTGCGTGTCTAACAAGGGCATGTAGGTAGGAACATACAGAAATCAAGCATTTCTGGACACACTTTATTCATTACTTGGAGTATATTTCTTTCCAAGGCCAGAAGCTTCACTGCAGGACAGTGAAAAAGGTACAGCCCTGGTACAGTTTTGTACTCCAAGGTACAAACAATATTAATGTACCCCAATGGTACAGATGTTCCTCAGAGTCCATTTCTGTACCTTAAATTAGACTAATTCACAGACCATTGAGGGTGCAGCCCCAGTGACAAGTAATTGTACCCTCAAAGGTACAAATAGGTACTTTTGTTCTGGCAGTGTATAGAGAGGTGGGGGTCATAGGGGCACTGGATTCAGCAGAATGCTGATTGGCCCTTAGAGAGCCCCCTCACGTGTCACTCACCGATTCAAAACATATAATTAGCTAGAGAGAAGTTTGGCCCATCTTCATGAATAATAGCCCCACTTATGCCCCGCCCCCTTAAAAATACCCGAGAATTGGCCCTGTTGGAGGGATGTACACGTGTGGGGGTTCCGTGCCCCCCCCCCTGGTGGTACAACAGCTTAAATCCCACCCTTCCTCCGTTGCTGAGGGATGCTGGGAGTTTTGTGCATACAGACAGAGAGACAGAAAGGGCTGCCCATAGTGTGCTGGTGTGTTTGGGAGAGGGGGGGGGCACACACTGTAGAGCAGATCTCATTACCCTGCTGCCCTTTTCAAGCCAAGACAGATCACAGCTCGCCAATTAGGAGATCTTTAAGATGTTTAATGTGCACCATTAAAATTTTAAAACCGGTCCAGGGGGAGCGAGGAACATGTGATGCAAAATCGGGGGATGGAGGGGGCGCCACAGCCTTTTATCGTGACCTCGGAGTGTCATCGGCCAGCTCGTCCGGAATAACATTGAGCCACGTGATATCCCAGCATGCACTTCAAACCTGCCCAATGTCTGGGGGGGGTCCTTAGGTTTAATACCTGTGCACAAGGTGCCTAAACTGTATGGCTCATCTGAAAACAACCAGCTCTCCAAATGCTAAATGCGACAAAGTATGGAATGTACCAATAATACTCATAATGCTCTGCAAATGTAATGTTTCTCATACAGCATGTGATAACACAGGCCTGGGGTCCCTGTGCTCCCAAAGCCGTCCCCCAAAAGTTGCCCTTTTCCCTTCTATGGCTGTTCCTCTTTTCTAACCCAGAGAGTACTTCACCTCCGTCACTCCTGTGAAAAATGGAAAGGTGAGGGGCACCGACTCTAATCTATGTAAATTAACACAAATGCCCTTACTAGGCAAACAGGCACCCCAGCCCACGCTCACCTATTAGTAGGCAGTGATTATACATACTCACACTGGCACATGAAACAGAGTGGCAGTTTACTCTTCAAAGTCTTCCATAGCATCACTTTTAAAAATGTAAACACCGGACTCATAACTCAAGGCTGCCACGTGCGGCCCATCGATTTCCGCTCGTACGATCGGCGTCACGCCGGCCTCCAGCCTGGGGGCTTATGTCAGGGTACAGCCCTGGTGGGACGCCAGTCAATCGCATGCCCCGGCTGGCATCATTAGTCAGCAGTCCATGAAAACTGCATGCTTTACCGGCCGTGAGAGCAAACCGGAGAATGTGGAAGAAACCTTGTGCTGCCTTTCTGCCCTCCCCCCCCGAATAAGCTTTGAAAACAGAGAACGACTGCAAAATGTTTCCCAGAAGTCCTTTGTTTACATGTCCGTTACTCTGGCTGATTCGAAGTACAGATGTCAAGGAAATCGGAGCCTCCTGTGTCCTTCATTTCAGCCCCCACTCCACGAAGAGTCACGGATAGAAGTGATTTACGTCCTTTATCTGATCTGTGGGTAAACTCGCTGAGCATACCAGTCCCGCATGGGCTTAAACCTGGACGGTTCACAACATCCAAGGCCTACGCTGGGTGGATGTGTTGAAACCGTAAACGTGATATCGTTCCTGTGGTGCCTTATCCAACACGCAGGGGAAAATACAATGCACTGGAAGAAAAATAATACGCATAATAAGGAGGTATGTTTGTGTATTTGTAGCGCACTGTCGTGTTATTGTAGCTAATCAAACTACAAGATAATTCAGTTTTCCTTTGTAGCGGCCTGCAGGATGGTTTGAGGAGGCTTTAGTCACGCCTTCGGGGCTCCAGACCTTTAATGCAGAGCACTAACTGTATAAATCTCCCAGCAGATTCGATTATTCAGTGAGCGATTTGGCAGAGGCGTTTACTGGCACAAATATTCCTGTTGGGAAAAAGCGGAACGGCTGGAGACACGTGCCGCTTTCCTTCAGTGGGCGTGTGACGAGCGGGGGGAGAGTCCAGAGTTGAGTCGAGAGTAAAAAAATAAGGGGCCGTTTACCCCGATCTTGGACTTCTGCGGATGCAAAGAAGCAGGCCGTGCGCTTCTACAGCGATCGCCCTGGGGTGAGGTTATGTTTTCACGGACGGACGTCGATCAATGAAAAACCATAAGATAAACATAAAATGTCAAGACTTAACTAAAGACGATTCTCCTTCTGCATTCAGAAGGACTTTTTTTGCCTCCTCTTATGGTTTCCAATGCGGCAGAGTCCGACCCAATGAGTGTCAGCGTTCATGAACGTCGCTGTCGCGGCCCTGATCGGTCTAATTGACTGAGTATTAGCACTAATTGGATGACTAACTGCAGTGAGCGCTGGATGTGAATCGGTGCTTTAGAAACACTGGTTGGAATAGAAACTCCATTGACTCCAAAGTGATGGATGACTATTACAAGACCAATGGCACAAGTCAGGAAAAATAACTAAGTGTGACCTCTGATTATTATGTAAAAAAACACAACAGCCGGTCACATGACTCACATGCTGCCACTATTAGAAAAAAGTTCTTCGTATTCTGTAATGCCAGCATGCCTGTGAGGGGGTCGAGCCAGTCGATCTCGGACCCCCAGAGGATTTTCTGCTCCTTACCTGGCAGTTGTTCTTTCCTCTCCCCCCATTGTCTTCTGGCTTTCTTTCTTTCCCTTTTTCATGCACCATTTTGCATGAATGATGGATTGGCATACACTCTTGTCAAATGCCTCGGGGCGACTGAGGTGTGAAAGGTGCTATATAAAAAGTTGGAATTGAGATGAAAAGTTTATTTACCACTATCTGGGTTTTGTTAATTTTAACATTAATACTCGTTACCATCAACCATTGTCTGCCTTCCTGACCGCTCTGCCCTGTAGTTAGTCTCGTGTCCTGGAGGTCCATGATCCTTCTGACCTCAGTATTTGACTTGAAAAACACCTTGAGTCTTGTGGCATGATGACTCGAGTGCCAACGCGGCAGATTGTATCGGTGTCTTCTGGAAATTAGATGTGTTCTCATGCTGGTATGGAGGAAGCTGTAATCTAGGTGATTCAGGTATGTGGCGGCACATGTCAGTCCTGGGAGCGGGGCGGGGGGGCGGGCCACATATTTCACACCAATGGAACATGACTGAAATTCTACATGCCCTCTCTGGCTCCTCCCCCATGAGACTGACTGGGAATCCCTTGAGGAAAACCCTGTGCTCCCCAGTGTAAGTGGGCATACAGGTCAGCAGGGGCCACCAAAATAAAGTGTCCAGCTCCTGCTCCTATTTTTTGCCCCCCCCCCCCCCCCCACCATTGCACTGCAAAGCTCACATCTTCAGGACAAACAATTCAGACTAAACAATCCCAGACCTTTACTTTTTACTCTGCATGCATGAAAATGCAAAAAGCACACAGCTATTCTTAGTTCACTAAGTTGTCGCACTTAGATTTCACCTTGCAGGTGGTGAGTCATTACACATCAAGCAACGTAGACCCTTAAACTGAATTAGGAATTATGTTTACTGCTTGTTCTCAATAACAAGACAATCCTCCCAAGCATGTACATTCTCGTTTTTTTTCAGTTTACACTCTGAAAAGTGCTGAGCGTGGCAGCGAACACCGACAGGTTCTCTGACATATAAAAACTGGACGTGCTGTAGAACGAGGCCGGGAGTTTCCCGCTGCCTGGGTCTCTGGTGCTTCATACTCAGGTGTTTGTCAGGACCGGCATGATGAAATACACAAAGGCTTCTCCCGAGGCAGCTGATTGTCATATCTGCTTACCGGACCTGACACTTCCGGAAATCTCAGCCACACTCACGTCTAATGATGTTCGGTTGATCCCGTCTCTGTGGAGCAAAGTCTGTCTCCCTCATCAACGGAGGTTGACACCTGGGAGCCTGGCAAGTTTCCGTGGACTCTGGATCCCGGAGTCCGTAGCTGCGGTGCTGCAGACCAGCACCTTGTGCTGACGTCAACGTTCGCCCTCGTGTGGACTCCGTCTGTCGAAGGGACGGCCACCTGAGATCGCAGACTGTCACCGCTTGGTGAGGAGTAAGCAAGTATGAAAGCGCCGACGGTTGAGGAGGAGCTGGAACGCCAGGAATGCTGGACAGCCCGGAAAGGTCATTACGGACAACTCTGACAGATGTGAGCTGAAAGGGGGGAGTCGGTAAACCATCCACATATAGCGGCCTCTTTCCCTTAACTGGAAAAATATTTCAGTATACACAAGTGACTCAGATCCCAGGGATGTGACAACAGAACTGAAGATAATTTCAGGAGGCTGAAGATACCTAACTGCCGATTTAAATCCCTTTTTTCTGGCCTTTGAGAGAAATCTTGACCAGAACCACATCACATATTGATAGTAAGAAAGGAGAGGGACTTCATTTCCAGATTGGAAGTGAAGATGAGCATACTAGTGAGAACGGGAATTTGCATCTGGGTGCGTTTACTGGGGACCAGGGGAAGCGATTTCTCTGTTTGCCCAAGGTTGCCAGCTCGTAAACGTCTCTTTAAATCTCCATCTGACCAGAACATGACACAGATGATCTTCTTGCAGTCATAAATAACCAGCAAATGAGAGGAGAGAGAGTCTAAAGATTTATTAAATTCTTCTTTTATTTGCTGGGGCTGCCTTAGTGGCCTTAAAGAAAGAGGGGCCTTCACTGGCTGTAAAACATGACAGCAAATCGGAATCCCGCTGCCCCAAAAAGCAGCTCAAGGATGCTTGACAGAAACAGGCAGATGTGCCCCCCTCCCCCCCCCCCCCACACACACACACACACACACAAAGCAAGGGCAGTAAGGACCTTGCGGAAAATGCTGGAAACGAAGAAGGAAAATTTGGGCA